GAACTATCAACTCTATACTTTCATCTCCTCCATCTATCGTTTAAAAATTACCACTTTAGTCTGTTTTTTGAAATTAGCATCTTCAACTATGTAATGTATGTATTTGATATAGCGATGCAAGCGTCTAAAGAGACATTGCAAACAATGACGTCGGATATGTCAGATGACTTGAAATTTTTGAATGAAGAAATCAAGCAACTCTCAAGTCTCACGATGGACATGAATTCTAGTGCGCCAATGCACAGCAATCCAATGCTGCAGTTGGATATTCTTGATGAATTGAAGTCCATTTCTGCTAATGTAGCGCATTTTCATAACGCACCTTTGACTCCGTCAGCTAGCTCGTGCCTCAGCCTGGAAATCGAAACCAAAAACTCAAATTATGCCGATGACTCAGGATGGCGACTTCTGGGAATATGGAATGGGGACTGGGCGGACTATGATGCTCGGAAGTTGCATCGCTTGAATCAGCAAAAAAAAGGCTGATAAGGCTAAAAAGCGGAAGAAGCAACGAAAAGCAGACGCACATTTCAATCATAGTCACAGTCGTAATCAAAATCATCAAAATCACAATAATTACACAAATCAGCACAATATCATCAACTACAGAACGGATCATCACCAGACAGAATACATCAACAGACAGATGCAAATAGCCAAGGGCGGAGGAGATTTTGTTCTCAATAGCTAATGTGCTCTTTTCAGTTTTTGGTCGTGATTTGCACGATTGGTTCCGCTATTTGACAGCTCAATTGGTTCCCGAGATTCTATCCACCAGACTATGAATATAGCGACTATAGTGGAATCCTATCCCAGATCCTAACTGTCGTGAATCTCGGTTTGTTGCTATCAAATGCTACACTGAACCTAATATTCATGCAACAGCCTTAGCCACCGAATCCAAGCTTGGAGCGATAATGTTCTCCGGGGGGCATTCCAATTTCCGACAGGACAATAACTTCTACTGGATTGGAGTATGATTAACCACAGGTGACGCTGGTAAGTAGACGTAGCGAGCGTGCATCATCAGAGGAAACTGGTCCAGATGCTCTTCAGATTCTGATGAACGCTTCCGGAAGGAGTTTCTCCCGAAAGCCATCGACTCAATCAAAGATGCGTCGCCAGCGTTCTAGTGGGAACTTCAACCGGATTCAGACTTCCCTGGTGGAGGTGGGGTTTTATATTCCCATACGGGAAGATAGTCCAACGATCGCACAAATAGAAAGTAGCATGATGTCTCTGGTGAAAAGCAGTGCCGGCCAGAGAGCACCTGTAAAAGCTGGGGTGCTGTCGACGGTAGAAAAGCAAACATCGTTGATCATCGAAGGCGAATACATCTACGTATGTCAGTTACGATGAAGAACGAATGATGGAACTGAAGGTTGGTTAGCTGATCCTCAGGCTGATCAACGAAGTGGTGAAGCGTTACGGAATCAAACATGCTAAACGACCACTGATAAAACTACTACAGCCAGATGGTGGCCTTTGTATGGACACCGATTCCCTTACGACCTTCTGTGCGGCTCGGATTCCATAATCAATTCGTACCTCATAGAGTTCGAAAAGCTGCGTTCGGATCAGTTCTACGAGGATGATTGCAAACACCGCGATGTTTTAATGCTTACCGAACTGCTCCAATCGCTGGCACCATGATTTCTTCTCCGCCAAGCCTAAATATTCTATATCAAGCCACCAGGGTCGTGTCTAAGAGCTATACCTATCCTTCAACCAATTCACCAATGTCAACTTTCAGAAGCTCACCTTCAAGCCCAACAACTGACCAATCAACATTTTACAATTCCACTAAACCTCCTTCGGCTGTGATTTCAGCTCCGTCACGAATCTCCCCGCCACAAATCGATCCACCACCATCTTCAACGTTCCTTTCACTTCCTCCTTCAGGGTTTCGCTCTCCACACTAACCAACTCACTAATCACATTCTGAATCGGCATTTTGACCAGTAGCAGTCCCTTCATGGTCATCTTTTCAATCAGCTTCCGGAACTTCCCAACTTCGATCAAACTGTTCTGAAACACCAAAGTATTCCGCACCAGATCCTCGAACAGTTCGATCGTCTTGAGTGGAGGTTCTCCGATCTTGAAGTCTTCCGGTAGCGACTACAATGATTTTCATTTCGACACATGTACAGAGCAGGCGCAGATATAGTACAGTGCTGCCAGTAACTTTAAATATCAAGAAAATTTCTAACCATAGGTGCCAATGAAAGTTCCCAGGTGTGTACGTCTGTACTTTTGGCACACTGTGCGGAGTGACCAACCCCTTGGTTTTATATAATACTAGCTGAGTGTGCCCGGTCTTGCTCGGGATTCAATATTAGCTTGAGTTTATGCGCCGATTTAAAAAAAAAGCATGCTATATTGTACGTAGCCCCCCCCCCCTATTATCTAAGGGGCTACCCCCTATGATTATTTCCTTATACCCCCACACTCGCCCCCACATGCCTAATTTGGTTCCATTTGCTTGATTAGTTCTCGAGTTATGCAGAAATTTATGTTTCATTTGTATGGGAGCTCCCCCTTACAGAAGAGGGAGGGGTCTCGAACTATCATAAGAACCTTTCATGGCCCCAAAAACTCCTGTATACAAATTTTCACGCCAATCGGTTCAGTAGTTTCCGAGTCTATAAGGGTCAGACAGACAGAAATTCATTTTTATATATATAGATAGATTGTTCGTGTCAGCCTTAACGTGCCGAAAAGAGTGCCATACTGTGTTTCGGCACAGTGTGCATAGTTGATTTCCCCTTTACTAAATTTTTCTGATATTCATGGAACTTTCAGCTCTGAAGTTCGCAGAACTGTTTCAAATTTAACGAAACTTCCCTAAAGATCGCTGAACTTCCCTGATTATTTATGAGCTTCCTTAAATTTCTAGTTATTGGAACTGCCCCTATGACCTCTTTTAATTGTTACGGGATGGCTGGACGTTTATTAGTAGAAAGTATAAGCCGATTTACGTTTGGTAACCGTGATTGTCAATTTATCAAAGTTACAAAGCGGGCGGAACTTGAAATTGAACTCATTACCTCCTGCTCGCTGTGGCAGATCACTGATCCCTGGGGGGCCCCTGTTTCCTTCTGAAAACTCCTAGATTTGGCGTTTCCGATAGCAACACGGAAATCACGCTCAGTGAGGAAATTCCGAACGAAGTGTACTATGTGTCCCTTAAGTCCCCAGCTGACGAGTTTGGCAAGTCCAGGTCCTGTTAAATGCCTTGGAGATGTCTAGAAAGACCATTTCGGTGTGGTGTCCCTGGTCGAAGGCTTCTTTCAGCACGTCTCCCAGAGTGGCGAAATAAGTAGAGGTGCCGAATCCTTGCCGAAAGGCGTGTTGTCGATGGTCGAGCAAATTGCTGTTCTCCAGGAATGTCTTGAGCGTGCGGTTCACCATCCGCTCGAAGACCTTACTCATGCAGGAAGTGAGTGCGATGGGCCGGAATTTCGTCGTGTCCTTCGTGGTTTCATTCGACTTCGGTATTGGGATGACTAGGCTCTAGCTCCATGATGCTGGATAGGAGTCGGTGGTCCAGAGTTTGTTGAAGAGGTCAAGCATCAGCACTTGCCCTTCGATCGGTAGGTGTGTTAGTAGGGGGTACCCGAGTTCGTCTGGACCCGCCGATTTGCCCTTGCTTTTTCATAGCACATTTGAGGCATTTTTTTCAAATTGAAATTGTTATACATCCATGTCATATTTAAGAGCGAAGACTTATTCTGGATGAAGACATCAAATTATCGATGCTGTATGTTTGCAGCTATATTTTACTCATATGAGCGCATAGCAATTTAGAATGGCGTCCCTTATGCATGTTGTAGCCTGGATTAGATGAGCGAATGTAGAGCAAAATGCCTGCGTCCAAAAATCATTTTGAGGAGCTGGTTACTCATAGAGTAACTATGAGTAACCACCATGACAGACATGACATACTGAAAATAATCCAATATTTTCGTCAACAAATTAGGTTACTGTTAAAAACTTCAATAGCTGAAACAGTCATTTTAAGATTTATAAATTTATGTGTATTTGAAAGCTTATCAAAAATGTAAACTTTCTGAAATGTACACAATGGACACTTAAGAGTTGACCAACATCGTAAAATATAATCTTTTCCTAAATTTTTTGAAATTTTGGCATGAAATTTTTGAAAATTACTTCGGTTTTTATATATTTTCTGAAAGAGCTTCGTTTTCTGAGCACAGCGATATTTTTTTCGAACCCACACACTTTCATCTCGATTTTTAAATCAAGATTTAAAACAAAATAATAACTTCACTGTTTGAAACGACAAACTGACAGCTCGGTCCCATACAAAGTGACACCGAGGGGCGCAAATAAGGTGATTTTTGCTAATGTAATCGTACTTATTTAAAATAGTTCCAGTGTACCAAAATTGATGAAATTTTGGGTTAGGGCTCCATTTTTAATGCAGATTACGAATATGCATTTACCCTTAAAGAACCCAATTGAATAGAATTTTGAATAACGAATTTCGACTTTTCCCATTAAAAATCGAATCATGCAAACGCAACGACATCTACATCTGCACAACTGCAACAGAATTTCCCACAATCAATCAGCTCCCACATCGCATTCAGAATCACTTGGTCGCCTAATTAAAAAAAAATCCACCAACAAAAGAACTGTTTGTCTCACCCGGTTCTCTGTTAGCACCCCCGCCACGATCAATCTCCTCCCTAGCAGGCAATGAGAGAGACAGATCACCCAACCGCACTCTCATTTCCCCCTTGCACTACTCGCTGCGAATGAAAACAAACAGGTAGCAGGGCAGCGAGCGGCAGTAGCACGACCCCTCTCCGGGTATGAAAAACTACACTGTGTGCAAGTCGAGCAAGTAGGCTGCTGGTGGTGCACCAACTCCAGACTAATTCATCATTATTTTGCGGTTGAGAACGACTTGTATTCGAACTCGTTGGGCCTCGACTCGATTCCAGACCAACAGTCGCAGTTGGAACTTGGCCGGGAACGGGTGTCGTACCAATTTCGGGACGTCGCGTGGTTGCGTTGTTTTGGAGTTTTGAATTTTGAACTTTGATCAGCGCTCTCGGATTGGGAGGTGATTTGTGATGCTTGAAGAAGAGGTTTCTGTGAAGTGGAGCAAGATGGTTTCATAAGGGGTTGCTTCAAGTGAGGGTGTCGGTAGCAGCGTGGGACTGACAAGTGCGTTCTAGAACGCTACCAGTTTTTTTTCTGGGTACATTCAAGCGTGACAAGAATTATATACAACTGATGGGTTGTTCGAAAGACGGACGCAAGGAGGGAAGCGATCGGCTTAATTACAGTGATTGTGCTTGAATAGTGGAAGCGAACGTATGTGAGAGAGTGACTGGCAGTAGTGTTCTTCAAAACTAAATTCTACCGAAGCAAGTGTCAGTTCGAAGCAGTACAAGTTCCTGCCCTGAACAAGCTTCAACGGATTATTGGAACGGAAAAATGGGTAGGAATCGAATTTCATATCACGTCAGTTTTGGCCACTTGCCACCTCAAAATTCGGAAAGTATCACATTGAAAGCACTTCAAAAGCAGCGACTTCTATCCGGATTAGTCTTTCAGACGACGAAAAGTAGAACGTTGGAACTGTGCCAAAATGGCTGAAGGTCTAGACATTGTTGTGCCGATAGGTTTCCTATTGACGAAAAGTGTCGAAAAGTAAGAGTTTTTCCGTGTAGCCGACTTGTAATAGTATCTACGTTTTGGATGCTTCTCATTCCACCTGTCATGACACCCAACAGGCTAAGAATAGAGAGCACTCGTGTGCCTTCAATGGGACGTTCACGCTTTAGGCGAAGGAGAATAACAAACGGATCAAAGTGAGAAAACTCCCGCATGCTAACGAAGTTAATCACCATCGTTTACGTGCTGCAAGCTGCCAGCCCCAGGCACCACCCCCCGGGTCCCTTTCGCGACAGCTAGGTTAGGGTATCGGATTAGTATTTACGGTATTTTTTTTTCGGGAAACTATACGTGTAATTAGGTTACGGTTGGAAGTGATACAAAGCAACAGAATTTGGCCTGGATTGTATCAGTGGGAGGGTATCGGATCGATTGGTCGAATGAAGAAACTATTGGTTTAATCGATCGATTTTGATTTTCATCTCCTTGGTGAGATGTTCAGTCACGAGGAAAATATGTATAGTAAGAAGCTTACTTTACGATGTGAACAGGGCTAATTAATTTTGAAAAATATACTCTGAAAGAGGAACTTATCGATCACATTCACCCCAATGATAAATCAAGATTTAAATTATTAATTTTTGACACCGATCCAGATTCTCTAAAATCTCTAAGGTTAACTTTTAATACACCATTCGGCAGCCACCGAGAGAGGATACAACTTAGAAAGCACGCAGTCATTCTCTCTCGAATAGTAGAGAATGTCAAGGTGTATTCAGTGATGCAGGTGGATGAAGAGCAACAGACCAACAATGGAAATAGGCGGAACAACAAAACGTAACTTAAATTTCTACAGAATCAAAACACACCTACGCAAACTAACAATGCCATTTGATAAAGGAAGTTTGCTCTTTGCTAAATATTCTGTTCATTGCTGCTTTAGGATCTGCTGTTGACGTTGAAAACCGTCCTCAAATACCTACTTCTATCTTGTTTAACGAAGCCAGTTCAATTTAGAAAAATCTGACACTATTTCGTCACAACATTTTTTTAATTTACACCCCAGTATAGTTCACAAAGACGTAGTGTTACGTCACAAACACGGCCCTTTTATAATGTCGGTTATTTTTTTTAATAAAAAAAAATGCAAAGTTTCTTAGAAAAATTTCATTGAAATCTGAGAGGGTGCCGTCAACCATTTGTCGATTTGGCGTGAAATTTGTCATTTATAGAACGTTTGATCATAATCACACAAGCACTCCTGAGTAATATTGCATGAATTGTAAATAGTAGATAGAGTTTCTTTCTATCGACATCTTATACCCCGTACAGACTACGAGGCTTATTACGGATGTCACTTCACGGTGGAAACTTGTCACTTGTCGTCATGGTGAAGTGATTCCCATTTGATTTGTACGGCAATCACGGCTCTTATTCTGAGTATCACTTCCTTATCACCGTGTAGTGACAGCCGTAATAAGGCCCTGTGGCTTATACCATGTTAAAGGATTTCCAGTGAATACTAGATGTATGAGTGCTCATTACAAGACAGCCTACACGCTATTTTGAGGCTACTCAGTGACTAGGTAGATGGCACTCATTTTTGCATGATGTATGGAGTTGTCAAAAAATGAGTAAACTGGCATAGCTCCAATGAGTGGAATCAACCCAGATTCTGGGTAAATGGTTCTGATATATATTTTTTCCCTAAGTTCAAAGTGGCGCACTTTGAAGCTCTGAACAGGCTAAAATAAGTTTTTAGAAGTGAAGCAATGAAAATGGAGCAGCTACGAAATAGTCTGGATGGCGAAAGCTATCAGCAGGTAGTTGGTGAGGTATACAACTTTAACAAATAGTTTGTTGGTTTCAATAAATACAGAATTATCATTTTCAAAATGATTTTTTAATATCCTTCCTGGACGAAATAATTTAGTTATAAAGCATTTATGGGGCATACATTTGTTTCTATCGAAATGGGTAAGGTTTACTCAGTTGACAAATGTCATCATCTGAGTAACCGTTACCCAGTTTCTCCATATTAGAGTAAAAGCATGATAACTCATTTATGGGTAACTTCCCTCTTGGCTGGACTTTGACTTAGGACTACGTCTGTGATTTATACACGGGGGTACACTTTGTGAAAACCGAGAATCGAACATTTAACAAAATTATGAAAGATTTTGAACGCTAATAACTCAGCTGCATAAATATTTTTAAAAAATTATCCCCGATTGCCTGCGAAAAGCGATTTCCCAAGCACAGATTTCAATGTTGAATTCCATCCGGTCTCATCAAACGATGTTTATTTAATCACCGCGTGGTGAAGGGTGATGTTCTCCATTACACAACGAAAGGCTGCCTGCAAGTAGTGAGCTGCAGCCCACATGAACATGCATAGAAGGAGGGAGAAGCCGCACCGCTATTGATCAGAATCGTGAGTAGCTGTGGACGCGTCATGCTAAAGAGTATAAACAGGGAGAACCCCTCTCAAATTCCTATTCCTACGCAAAACACAAGCTCCTGCTGTGCAGTTAACAAATAATATTTATTATATAAGACCACTTTGTCCTACGTCACCGTTGCGTACAACCCCATAAGGCTGTCCCTTGAAGTTTTTGACTCAAAAATGAGTAGCCTCAAAATAGCGTGTATATTACATGATATAAGCCGGTTCAAACATTACATTACGCTCAAAGAAGAGGGGGTGGACCAGAATTTACATTTACAATTTACAATTGCAAATTGTTACTAAGGAAGGGGGTTGTTACGTAAAGTTGATAAAATTGAAAATATAGGCATAGAGAGATGAAAGTTTATAACTTTACATGTTCAAGCAGAACGATGCGCAACCAAGTGGTACTCGATTATGACGGCTGGGTTTGGGGAAAACGTTTATTTCATTAAAATAGTGATAAGATTATCACTTTTTATTTGTGCATTTTCCAAAAGTTTACTATGGCAAATTGAAAATGTTTCAATTTCAGCAGATTTACAGAGCTATTTCCTTGCGATTGGTTTATTTGGATTTCAATTTTCTCTATAAATGACAAAGCTATAAGCATTCAAAACCTAACACCTTTTAGTGACGGTCGCAATTTTAGATTTAAGATTCACCCCCTGTGCCTTCCCGTAAATCGTAGTCCACACATCAAAAAACATACCATCCAAGACGATGATGCCATCCAGGAGACGTAACACTCTGTAGTGATTGATGACGATTTTTTTCTTGATTTGTTTTCCGTCGATCTTGTTTTCCGTGCTGAACACCAATGCTACCGACGCCAGGGATGCAGCTTCCACACCTGGACCCTACCTATCGATCTATCAACTCATGAACCGGGGATCAACGAAGGAAGGCGTGACCAGAGATGTTATGCCGCAGAACATCCCGGCGGCGCCGACTGGGATTGAACCCAGGCCTGAGGGTTGAGAGGTAATCACGCTTACCGCTACTACACTGACACCGCCGATCCGGCAGGTATGATAACATATGATCATGCGACAACAAAGGCATTTGGATCTTTAACGTCGTGTAAGAAGATTATTTTGAAGATGCTGGACTGCGGATTGATGATCAAGGATCACGCTTCTCATCGCCAGCATAATCTCACGCGTTTGTGATATCGAACTTATTAGTGGACTTGAGGGAGAGTAGTTTGGACTGGTCGGCAGATCGCTGGGTCTCGTTGAAGAGTACGCAGGAGAGGCGCCACCTGACAATACAGGACTGTTCCACTGATAAGGGGGATATGCTCTTTAAATTACCTAGATGGAACATTCCTAGCAGCACGCTTGTCACAAATCGGTTGTGGCAACTTCTATACAACTTATATCAGTCATAAACAAGTTGCTGCAACTTATTGTGACGGAAATGTGCTACTCGGGATTGATGCCAGGCTCTTCAAGCTCTCCCGGATCATCAGAGCGCCGCCATTTACCGTCAATTATAAAGCAGCTCCCACTTATTAATCGAACAGGTTTGCATTTGTCAAGTGGTGCCTCTCTTGTGTACTGTTCAACGAGTCCCAGCGATTTGCCAACCAGTTCAAAACAGTCACCTTTAAGTCACAAGTCCACACCCTTAAATCAATCACTAACAATCCAACAAGATGTTCGGAGATCTTCCGACTAGAAGTAAAGCGTACTTCCTAAGAGAAGTTCAGAGATCTTCCGACAAGCAGCAGCAACGAGAAGATAAAGGAATTTTCGACAACAAGCTCAGAGAACTTTCGATGAGATCGTATGAGAACTTCCACTAAGAAGTTCAAAGTACTTTTGAATAAAATTTTATCAGAACTTCCCTGAAGTTTCACAGAATTTACCTGAAGTTCATAGAAATTTATTAAAGTTCCGACGAGAAATTCAGAGTATTTCCGTCGAGAAGTTTAAAGGTCTTCCGACGACAAGTTCACAGAACTTCTTGGAAGTTCAATGGAAAAGTTTAGAGTACTTTCGACGAAACATTCAGAGTACTTCCGACGACAAGTTCAGAGATCTTCTAAAGTGAAGTTGTGATAAGTTAACAGAACTTCATTTATGTTCCATGAAGTTCCGACAAGAAGTTCACAGAACTTCCGATAAGAAGTAAACACAACTTGTGACGAAAATTTCCCAGAACTTCTCTTAAGTTCACAGAACTTCATTAAAATTTCCCGTAGTTCCAAAGAAAAGTTCAGAGTACTGCCGACGACAGGTTCTGAAAACTTCCGTTGAGAAATTCCAAGACTTTCTGACAACAAGTTCTGATAACTTGTGACGAGGCATTCAGAGATTTTCCGTACTTCTGACAGGATGTTCATAATACGATCAGAGAACGTCCAAGGT